AAAAAAAAAAAAAAAAAAAGATTTAAGAGTCTTCCAGTGCTAGATATGCCACAAACATGGGATGAAAAACAAATGAGACTAAGTCCATTAGGAGCTCGCAGTCTAATGGGGGAAATCAGGTACTCAGAAAGGTAAATTGCAGCGTGCTTTGTGAGCCTATAGACACATGAAGGACTGTGGAGGCTACAAAGAAGGTGTGACCATTTGGGAGAAATTGAGAAAAGGCTTTACTCAGTGGAAATTTTTCAGGCATCAGAAGAATGAGGTCATTCTAGAGTAAAGGGACTGATGTATAAAGAAATAGGAAAGAGTATCTGGAGACAGCACACATTTGTGGGATGGAGCACAGAGAGAGGAGGCTAAGGAAGGAGATGAGTAAACACGTATTATAAAATTCCTTGTTCTAGGGGCGCCTGGGTGGCTCAGTCGGTTGAGCATCCGACTTCGGCTCAGTTCATGATACCACGGTTGGTGGGTTCGAGCCCTGCGTCGGGCTCTGTGCTGACAGCTTGGAGCCTGGAGCCTGCTTCCAATTCTGTGTCTCCCTCTCTCTCTGCTCCTCCCCCACTCATGCTCCGTTTCTGTCTCAAAAATGAATAAATGTTAAAAAAAATAATTTAATAAAAAAATAAAATTCCTTGTTCTAGAGGCCATGCCAGTAATTTTGCACTTTCCCCTAGGCTACTGTGGTGCTAATAAAGGTTGGTAATCAAGAAAGCATCTAGGAAATTTCTCCGAATTTTCTCCAAAATTCTTTCAGAATAGATTCTGTACTTCTATGGTGAGTGATTATCCAGTTTCTATGTGGTTTAGACCCTTCCTTGGGGTGACCACCTGTCTCACCCTGAACTCTCCTAGATTTAACAAGGAAAGTCTCATGACCAGAAACTTGTTTAGTCCCCAGAAAGCTTGTTTTCACTGATAAGAGTAGTCTCTGTGGCACTGAAGAATATTGGAAGGGATAAGTTTACAGATTCATGGTGTAGAAGGAGAAAGGAAGAGCCAGATGGCAGTGTTTCGTCCTTTGCCCTGCAGAAGGTCCAACTAGAAATCAAATTTCATGCCACATCCCTGAAGCCTTCTGAGTGATTCTGGGAGGACGCTGCGTCCTCAGGAAGGTGACACGCCATTTTGGATGCTTGACTCCACTTGGTAAGCAGACCGTAAAAGCAAAACTGGGTGGTAGGAAGGTGACATTAGGAAAGATCTCCTCACATGGGCCCTCAGTGTCTGGAAGAGCTCTGGCCATGTCCCTGATTTCTCCCTTTCACGTGGCTGATGCCAGTCACCTGTAGTCCTGGGACAAAAGGCTCTTTATGTTGTTGCTTCAAATTTGGGGACTTAGATGTGCTGTGGGACAACTTACAGGAAACTACATAGATTCACTTCAGACCTGAGGCACAAATGCAATGACTGAATTTGCCTCATAAGGAGAACCACACCACATAGTGGATGGAAAATAATAGCTAATGTTGACTGAGTGCTGCTGTGGATTATGTGAATTTATTTAATCCTTACAATGATTCCATGAAGTGGACACTATGATTGTCCCCACTTATACAATTAGGCAAGGAAAGGGGAAATGGTTTCCCAAGTTTGCCAATGAGTATAAATGGAAGAGCTAGGATTTTTAATTCTGGTCTGACCTCTGAGGCCATGCTCTTAGGATATAATGCATGCTTCCTTAGTGAATGAACAGATAGACGGATGGATGGATGGATGGGTGGATTGACAGATGGGCTGCACTTATCCAGAAGCAGAGAGAAGAGATGACAACAGGTCCCCTTTGGTTGAGATTTTGTATTTCTTCACTATCCTGAAAGATTTTTAAATGGCATGTGTATTTTTGAGGTACAGTTTATGAACATAGTTATTTATAGCTCCCATGCCATTCAATGTGTAGCCCATACAAGGCATGTTTAAAAATCTATGCTGATTTTTATTGCACACACCTACATTAGGAGCTGTTGTTAAAAAATAAATAAGCTCTGGGGCGCCTGGGTGGCTCAGCCGGTTGAGCGTCCGGCTTCGGCTCAGGTCATGATCTCACGGTTTGTGAGTTCCAGCCCCAAGTCGGGCTTTGTGCTGACAGCTCAGAGCCTGGAGTCTGAAGCCTGTTTGGGATTCTGTGTCTCCCTCTCTCTCTGTTCCTCCCCCACTCGTGCTCTCTCTCTCTCAAAAATAAATAAACATTAAAAAATAAAATTAAATACATAAATAAATAAATAAATAAATAAGCTGTTACTTACCTCTCTGGTATACAGAGCAGAGATCAAAGTTAAGGAACACCATGGAATAGCTGTTTCTTCATGAATTGACTTAGGGTTTATGTGACTGTACTACTTCCTTGCACGAAAGGCTCTGTGTATGGTCTTTCCTTCCTTCACTCTCCCGAATTACATACAGATAATCTGTTACATAGGTTTTAAACTTGGACAAAACAGTTACCCCATGGAACCCAGCAGAATCCCAAAATCAAGGGTTGGGCAGGTAGGTGGGCGTGAGGGGTGGTTGGGGGTGGGATTATAGAATGATTGAGAACAAGAGCTAGGGCATAATCTCTCTTTCTGAGATGTCTTTCTGAGACCCTTCTCTGTCCGTGTTTGGGAACAGCACAGGATATGTGTTCCATGCCTAGAGAATCTAAAGGGCCTTGAGCTCTCCTTTCTGCTACTTCTTCTAGCAGATGTGAACAGCAAGGAAATGCACAGTGGAAACCAGACTTCTGTGTCTCACTTCATTTTGGTGGGCCTGCACCACCCACCGCAGCTCGGGGTGCCGCTCTTCCTGGCTTTCCTGGTCATCTATGCCCTCACTGTCTCTGGCAACGGGCTCATCATCTTCACCGTCTTGGTGGACACCCGGCTCCACCGCCCCATGTACTGGTTCCTGTGTCATCTCTCCTTCTTGGACATGACCGTTTCCTCTGCCATTGTCCCCAAGATGCTAGCTGGCTTTGTCTTGGATAGCAGGGTCATCTCCTTTGGAGGCTGTGTAATCCAACTCTTTTCTTTCCATTTCCTGGGCTGTACTGAGTGCTTCCTTTACACGCTCATGGCTTATGATCGCTTCTTGGCCATCTGTAAGCCTTTACATTATGCCACCATCATGACCCGGAACGTCTGTAATTACCTGGCTTTGGGCACCTGGCTGGGAGGTACCCTCCACTCACTTTTCCAAACAAGCTTCATATTCCGGCTGCCCTTCTGTGGCCCAAACCAGGTAGACTACTTCTTCTGTGACATTCCCGCCATGCTGCGTCTAGCCTGTGCTGACATCACCGTCAATGAGCTGGTCACCTTTGTGGACATTGGGTTCTTGGCCCTCACCTGCTTCATGCTCATCCTCACTTCCTATGGGTATATAGTGGCTGCCATCCTGCGAATCCAGTCTGCTGATGGGCGCCGCAATGCCTTCTCCACCTGTGCTGCCCACCTCACTGTTGTCATTGTTTACTATGTGCCCTGCACCTTCATTTACCTTCGCCCTGGCTCTCAGGAACCACTGGATGGAGTGGTCGCCGTCTTCTACACTGTCATCACCCCCTTGCTTAACCCCATCGTCTACACGCTCCGCAACAAAGAGATGAAGGCAGCATTGTGGAGGCTGGGAGGTCGCAAGGATGTGCTGCCTCACTGACTCAGGCATTGCAGACATGCAGAAGACACTAGAATTTCGGGCACCAGATGGGACATCCGTAACCGGGGAGTTTTTAAGACAGAGAGGAAAGAAGGATCCATGCAGAGAGTAGAAACTCCTAGGTGGAAACTCGAGAAAGTTTCCTGCTTTCAGACATGATTTTTCCATATTTGTTCTTTCAATTCCAATGGAGATCGGGCAAAACGACTCAGCAAGGATGGCAGTTTGTGGAAAAGATCCAAGATAAGTAAAATATCCATATAAAAAGGCTGTTTCTCTGTGGCATCAACCTATATGTTTATTATTGCTTCTAAGCCTTCAGCTGATACCCATATTGCTTTTTACATGTTACAAATAACCTTCATGCAAAACTTGAATTCAAGTTTCTCCAATGTTAAAAATAGTAACTAAGGGAGCACCTGGGTGGTTTAGTCAGTTAAGCTTCCACCTTTGGCCCAGGTCATGATCTCACAGTTCATGGGTTCAATCCCCACGTCGGGCTCTGGGCGAACGGCTCAGATCCTGGAGCCTGCTTCGGATTCTGTGTCTCCCTCTCTCTCTGTGTCCCCTTCCTGCTTGTGCTCTGTCTCTCTCTGTCTCTCAAAAATAAATAAACATTAAAAAAATTTTTTTTAAATAGTAACTAAGGACACACTACTGTTTAGAGTTTGAATATTGAGTATGCTTTGGCTTCCTTCTAAACTTGGCTTCATATTTTAAAAATTGAAACAGCTCTCTGACTTCATGTTTTTTAAATAGGTTCCATGCCCAGTGTGGGGCTTAAGCTCATGACCCTGAGATCAAGAGTCACATGCTCTACCAACTGAGCCAGCCAGACACTCCACTGGCTTCATATTTTAAAACTTAAACAATTGATATAACTAGAATTTTATATTAGAAAAAGAAGCAAATTGTAAAATTTTGTTAACGTTCATTTCCCAAATGACTAATTGGCACATTACCCTTATTAAATATTTGTCACACAGGCTTGCTTAATATGCTACACTTTAGGGGCACCTGGGTGACTCAGTTGGTTAAGTAACCGACTTTGGCTCAGGTCATGATCTCATGGTTACTGGGTTCGAGCCCCTCATCAGGCTCTGTGCTGTCATAACAGCCGGGAGCCTGGAGCCTGCTTCGGATTCTGTGTCTCCCTCTCTCTCTGCCCCTCCCCTGGTTGTGTGTTCTCTTTCTCTCAAAAATGAATAAATGTTTTAAAAAATCTCTAAAAAATATGCTACTTCAAAAAAATTTTTTTAATGTTTATTTATTTTTTGACAGAAAGAGCCAGAGTGCCAGTGGGGGAGGGGCAGAGAAAGAGGGAGACAGAATCTGAAGCAGGCTCCAGGCTCTGGGCTGTTATGACAGCACAGAGCCCAACACAGGGCTCGAACTCACAGACCACAAGATCATGACCTGAGCTGAAGTCAGACACGCAACCAACTGAGCCACCCAGGTGCCCCCTCTACCTTTTAAATATATTAAATTCTTACATGTACTTGATCTTATTTCAGAATATCGTATATATATGTATACGATATACATATATCTATATACACACTATATATGTGTATATACACATATACATATACATATGTATATACACATATATACACATATATGTATATACACATATATCACATATATAACATATATATACACATATATACACATATGTGTGTATACACACCTATATACACATATATACACATATACAAACACATATACACATATATATGTATATACACATATATAAAATATAGGTTCCATTAATATATGTCTGTTAGCACAAATTTTTTGAATAGCTGCATTAAAAAAATACTTTTAAATACTTAGTAGGGCTACTCTCCCATCTTTTCTATTCATATTTAGATTATTTCCAGCTATTATATTTATTTAGGTGCATATACAAATACTCTGTATTATTATATTTTATAGGTTATTTCTATGCTGTATATCATAGTGTATCATGTATTATGTTATTATAAATGTTTTGATTTATATGTTTTGCTGTCATGACCTAATAGTCATTCTAAGTTAATGTTTTTATATATCTGCTCAGATTACTTATGTGTTATTTTTTAAATTTTATTATTCAGCAAAAAATCTGATTATCCTTATTTCTAAATTCTTAGAGAACATTTCAATTTACCTCTCCTTCACTTAACCTCTCTAGGACTCATTTTCTTTACCTGTAAAATAAAGTTAAGCAAGATGATCTCTAAGCTACCTTTTATTTTAATATTCAAAAGCTCTATAATTGTTCTATTCCCACTGCTTCCATGAAATTTTCTTAAAATTGTGTGCAGGCAAAGTTCTTAAGAGAGAAATAGGAAAAGAGGAGTCACAGAAAAATATCAAAGATCGATAGCCAGTAGCCAGATTTTTTCATCCATCACTTACGTGCCAGAAGTGATAAAATATAGTATGGACAATTTTATCAAAAATTTGTTTTCTATTTGCACATGTTGCCTAGTTTGACAATTTCACTATATTCCAAGGGCCAGGATAGAACTAAGTGATAGAAGTTAGATATCATTATTTAAACTGCATGTAAAGAATATTCTAATATAGATGAACTGTCCAATAGTGTAATAGTCTTTTCTGCAGACTTTAGTATTGTCACACTGAAAGAGTCATGGGGAAATTGGTGGGTTGGGTAACTGGTTGAGAAAAAGTGAGGATGTTGTACTCTGTCCCATGTCCCAGGGTTAATGGCCACTGTTAACAGATCACTCATCATGTATCGTTATTTCCATTTTTAAAATGTGGAGTTGCAGGGCACCTGGGTGGCTCAGTTGATTAAGCTTCTGACTCTTGATGTCAGCTCAGGTCTTGATCTCAGGGTCGTGAGTTCAAGCCCCGCTTTGGGCTCCGCACCAGGTGTGAAGCCTACTTTAAAAAAAAAAGAACACTTTTTAATGTGGAGTTGACATACTGAGCATGAGATGAGGAGTTGAGCCTTCCTGCTAATAAGTGATGATGATAAGATATCAGCCCAAGTCCATCTGACTCCAAAGTTCATGCCCTTTTCTCTGTGCTCTTTCAAAGATGCTTCTGGAAAGCACAAAAATAGGTAGCACAGTCCCTCTTCCTGGGGGCTATGATACATACACGGAGAAGAATGATGTAGTACACTAAGACAGTTTGGGAGTGGGACTCCTAACAGAATACACTGTAAATACCACTGGATTTCCAGAGGAGCTAAAACACTCTTAGAGTAGAGAGACCTCCTAGAGGAGAAAAGCTTGATCTTAATTTCAAATAGTGGCTTAGATTCTTGCGTCTCAAAGTGCAACCTATGAAATAGCAGCATGGGCATCACAGGGAGCTGTTCAGAAAGGCGGAACCCCAGGCCCTCCTCCAGACCTGCCGACTTAAGACTTGTATCCGAAGATTCTCATATGCACAACAGCGTCTAAGAAGCTTTGAAGACATTAGTAGATACAAATGAAGACTGAGAGGCGCCTACGTGGCTCAGTCAGTGAAGCGTCTGACTCTTGATCTCCACCCAGATCTTGATCTCAACGTTGTGAGTTCAAGCCCCATGTTGGGCTCCATGCTGGGTGTTGAGCCTACTTTAAAAAAAGAAAAAAATGAGGGTTGATTTCTTCAAGGCAAAATAGAGCAGAGTGAGAAGAATGGGAGGAAGTTATGGTAAATTTAAGAGAGGGTGAGAAAATCTACTTGAATAGAGAAACGTACTGAATAGAGGAAGGGTGGAGGAAAGAAGAATAAATAGATAACAAGTAGTCAGGTTTTAGATAGTCTTGAATTATAAAGTGAAAATGTTATGCAGCATAGTAAGGAAGCGTGTGAGGTTGGGTGGTTAGCATTTCTGGGAGGGGGGGCCGTTTGAGATAACCCAGTGGGGATTGAATCAGGCAGTGATGAGCAGGATGGAGTGAATCATTAAAGGAGAGAGATGAGAACTGAGGAAACCTTATAGGAGGCTATTTTTCTAATCATCCAACTGTGATGAAATAAGAGAATAATGGTAACGATTATAAAAATTAAGATGCAGATACAGGGGTGGGGGGGCGCCTGGGTGACTCAGTGGGTGAAGCATCCAACTTCAGTTCAGGTCATGATCTCATAGTTTGTGGATTCGAGTCCCACATTGGACTCTGTGCTGACAGCTCAGAGCCTGGAGCCTGCTTCAGATTCGGTCTCTCTCTCTCTCTCTCTCTCTCTGCCCTTCCCCTGCTCACACTCTGTCTCTCTCTCTTTCTCAAAAATAAACATTTGAAAAAAGTTCTTTTAATTTAAAAAAAGAAGCAGATACAAATGGAGCTGCATTTCAGAACTGAAGTCTAGTTGGATTGAAATGGAAAAGAAAAATTCAAACAGACTTTGGTGTTGAACTTGATCCATCGGAAAGATTGGAAAGGGTGTGTGCTGAAGACATTTCCTAAAAATTCAAGGAGACAAAATCTGTGGGAGATCATGCCGTAAACCACAGGAATACCCTTTCTGACTATTCAGTGAATACACAGTCCGAAGCTTTGGAAGAATCTATAAAGCTCGGACTACAAAAAGCTCGCTCTGGATGTGTGGAGGATGGGACTACTGTGTTCCTACCAATGTAATGAAATAGGGACTCCAGGCAATAGTTTATACAGGTTTGATAAACTTTTCCACACCCCCTAGAAATAAGGCCTTGCCCATCAACATCTGCAGCTCTAGAAACCCTTTAAAAAGCAGGATATGAAAAGTCTGGGAGAAATCAAGATTTGCAAGACCTTCAGTGGGATTTTCCAGGCTCTCTTGGAGATAATGTATTTACTCGGATAGGACATTACGTGTATCCCATACGCCTAATGCAGTGAGCAATCCCTCTACTGAGAGATTCATTGAGAAAGGAAGTAGGCAATGATAAAAGTCAGTGACTTTTGAGGACCTGCAGAGTAATCTTATGTCTTTAAATGTTCCATGAGGCAAATCGCACTTGGAGGTGACCACGTAGAAAAAGAAACCATTAAAATGTAAAGATTGGACTC